AAGAGAGAAGAAAGAAGAAGAAGAGAGAAGAGAGAAGAGAAGAAGAGAAGAGAAGAGGGAGAAGAAAGAGAGAAGAAGAAAGGAGATGAGAGAAGAGAAAAGGAGAGGAGGAAGACTACGAGAAAGGAGAGAAAGAGAGAAGAAGAGAGAAGAGAGAAGAGAAGAGAGAGAAGAGAGAAGGGAGAAGAGAAGAGAGAAGAGAAATAGAGAGAAAGCAAAAGAGAAGAAGAGAAAGGAAGAAGGAGAAAGAAAAGAAGAAGAAAGAATAGTCAAAAGAGATGAAGAGAAGAAGAAGAGAAGAGAGAATAGATAGAAGAGGAGGAAGACAGCAAAGAGAGGAGAGAAGAGCCGGAGAAAGAGGAATGGAGGAGAGCAAGAGAAGAAAAGAGAAAAAGAAGAAGGAGGAGAAGAAGAAGAAGAAGAGGGGGAGGAAAAGAAGAAGAGAAGCAGAGAGAAGAAGAAAGAAGAAGAGAGAAGGAAAGGACGAACGAGAAGAAGAGGAGACAGCAGAAAAGAGAAGAGAAGAGGAGGAGAAGAAGAGAGAAGGGAGAAGAGAAGAAGAGGAAGGATAAGAAGAGAGAAAAGAGGAGAGAAGAAAGAGAGAAGAGAGGAGAGAAAGAGAGGAGAGAGAGGAAGAGGGAGAAGAGAGGAAGGAGGAGAAGCTAGGCCAGAAGGGGGCGAGAGAGACAAGAGAAGGAAGAGAGAAGAGAGAGGAGAGAGGCAAGAGAGAGGAAAGAGGGGAGAGAACAGAAAAGGAGACAAGGAGAAAGAAGCAGACGAGTACAGAGATAGATGAGACGAGAAGGCAAAGAGAGAGAGAGAGAGGAGAGAGAGAAGAAGGAAGAGAGAGAGAAAAGAGAGAGAAGAGAGAAAGAGAAGAGAAAGAAGAGGTAGAAGCAGAGATAGAGGCGCAACTCTCGCGGGTAAATTCTGAAATATGTGTAATCCAGACTAGGGCATCTTATATAAGACGATTTGCAGTTGGCAGGGTATCTCGACTGCCAAGTCACGTCGAGACGAGTAGAACGGACGCGTTGCGAGCTAATTATCACAGCACTTTGAGCCTTACGGATATCACTACCGCCCGCTGAGAGTCGGGTACTGCGACGGATCTCCACTCCATTACAGGTGCTTGGGGGGTGGGACTGCCTCAGAGCGTTGCGAGAACAGGCCAGGAGGGGAACAAGACGACTAAGATAGAGAAAAGAAGGAGACACTAGACAGAAGCAGAGAGCAGAGAAAGAAAGAGGAAAAAGAGGAGAAGAATAGAAAAGAAAAAGAGAAAGAAAGGAGAAGGGAAGAAGGAAGACAGAAGAGAGAAGAAGAAGAAGATGAAGAGTAGACGTGGAGAGAAAAAAGAGAGAGATAGAAGAGAAGAGGAGAGTAGAAGAAGATAGAGAGAAGAGAAGGAGAGGAGAGAAGAGAAGGAAGAGAGAAAGAAAGGAGGGAAGAAGAAAGAGAGAAGAGAGAGAAGGAGAAAGGAAGAGGAGAAGAGAAGAGAAGAGAGCCAGAAGGAGAGGAGAAGAATAAGAAGGAAGAAAGAAGAGAAGGAGAAGAAGAAGAAGAAGGAGAGAAAGAAGAGAGAGGAAATAAGAAGAAAGAGTCTAAGTAAGAAGGTAGAAGAAGAGAAGAAGAGAGAAGAGGAAAGATGAAAGAGAGAAGAAGAAGAGATAAGAAGAAGAGAAAGAGGACAGAAGACAGGAGAAGAAGAAAGGAAGAGAGAAGAAAGAAGAGAGATAGAGAAAGAAGCAGGGAAGAGAGAAGAAAAGAGAGGAGAGTAGAAGAGGAGAAGAAGATAGAGAAAGAAGAGGGAGAAGAAGAGAAGGCAGAAAGGAGAGAAGAAAGAAGAAAAAGAAGGAGAAAGGACAGAAGACAGAAGACAGAAGAGAAGAGAAGAAGAACAGAATAGAAGAGAGAAGAGAGAAGGAGAAAGAGAGAGAGAGAAGAGAGGAGAAAAAGCAGAGAAGAGATAAGAGCAAGAGAGAGAAGGAGAGAAGAGAGAGAAGAAGAAGAATAGAGAGAAGAAGAGGAGACAGAGGATAAGATAAGAAAGAGAGAGAAGAAGTAGAAGAAAAGAGAAGAGAGAGAGAGAGAGAACGAGAAGGAGAAGTAGAGAAAGAGAGAGAGAGAGAAGAGGAAGAGAGAGAAAGAGGGTAGAGAGAGAGAGAAGAGAGAGAAGATAAGAGAGAGAGAAGAAGAAGAGAGAGGAGAGAGAAGAGGACAAGAGAAAGAAGAGAGTAGAGGAAGAGAGAGAGAGGAGAGAGAAGAAGAGAGGAAGAAGAAAGAGAAAGAAGAAGAGAAGAGAAGATGAGAGAGGAGAGAAAGAGAAGAGAAAAGTGAGAAGAAGAAGAGAAGGAGAGAGAAGGAGAGAAAGAGAACAGAGAGAGAGAGAGAGAGGGAGAGAGCAGGAGAGAGAGAAGAAAGAGAGAGTAGAAGAAAACAGAGAAGAGAGAAAGAGAGAGAAGGAGAGAGCAGAGAGAAAGGAAAGAGAGAGACAGAGAGCAGGAAGAAGAGCGGGGAAAGAGAGAGAGAGGGAGAGAAAAAGAGAAGAAGAGGAGGAGGAGAGAAGAAGAGAGGAGAGGAGAGAGAGAGAAAAGAGAAGAGAGAGAGAGAAGAGAAGGAGAAGAGACAGAAGATGCAGAAGAAAGAGTAGAAAAGCAGAGAGGAAGAGAAGAGAGAAGAAGAGAAAGAGAGCAGAAGAGAGAGAGAAGGAAGAAGAGAGAGAGACAAGATAGAAGTAGAAAGAAGAGAGAAGAGAGAGAAGGAGAAGAAAGAAGAGTGGGAGGAGAGAGAGAGGAGAGAAGAGAGAGAGAGAGAGAGAGGGAGGAGAGAGAGAGAGAGTAGTAGGAGAGAGAGAGAAGAAAAGAAAGAAAGGAGAGACAGATGTAGAAGAAGAAGGAGAGAGAGGAAGAGAGAGAAGAGAGAAGGGAGAGAGAGGAGATAGAGATGAGAAGAGAGAGAAAGAAAAGAGAGAAGAGAAGAGAGATAGAGAAGAGAGAAGAGAGAGAGAGAAAAGAGTAGAGAGAAGAGAGAGAAGTGCGAATACAGAGATTTAGAAAAGAATAGCTAAGCAGAAACAAAAAGGTTAAGAGGTAATGAGAGAAGAGAAAGGAGAAAGAGAAGAGAAGAATAAAGAAAGAGTGAAAAGAAGAGAGAAGATCAGCAGAAGTCAGGGTAGAGAGAGAGAGAGAAGAGAGAAGAGAGAGAGAGAGAGAGAAGAAAGTAAGAGTAGAGAGAGGAGAAGAGAGAGAGATAGAGGAAGAGGAGAAGAGAGAAGAAGAGAGAGAAGAGGAAAGAGAAAGAAGGAGAGAGAAAGAGAAGATAGAGAGAGAAAAGAGGAGAGGAGGAGAGAGAGAGAAGACAGAAGAGAGAGAGAGAATGTAGAAGAAGAGAGAGAAGAGAGAGAGAGAGAAGAGAAGGAGAGAGAGAGGAGAGAGAGAGAGAGAAGAGATAAGAAGAAGAGAAGAGAGAAAGAAGACAAGAGAAGAAGAAGAATATTGAAGAGAGAAGAAGGAGAGCACAGAGAAGAGAGAAAGAGGAGGAGAGAGAGAGAGGAGAAGAGATGAGAGCAAGAGAAGAGTAGAAGAGAGAAGAAATGACAGGAAGGGAGCAGGAGAATAGAGAGAGAGAGGAAAAGATTATGGAGAGAGTAAGAGAAGGAAGAAAGGAGAATGTAGAGAGTGAGAGAAGATGAAGGGAATAGAAGGAATTAAAGAAGAATAAGATAGGAGAACGAGAAAGAGTAGTGTGTGAGAAGAGAGAAAGTAAGAAGAGAAGAAGAAATTAAAAGAGAAGGAAAAAGGAGAGAGGATAAGAGAGAGAGAGAATGAGAGAGATAAGAGAGATAGAGAGAGAAGAGAGAGAGAGAAGAGAAAGAGGAGTAGAAAAAGTAAGAGGGTAGAGGAAAAGGATGAGGAAGTAGAGAGAGAAGAGAGAGAGAAGTGAGAAGTAAAGAATAGATAGAAGGAAGGAAGAGAGAGATAGTGAATAGAGGAGAAAGAGAGAGAACAGAAGGAAGAGGAGAAAGCAGAGAGAGAAGAAGATAGAAAGGAGTAGTGAAGCACATGGATACCACTAACCTAGAAGCAGAAGGAGAAGAGAGAAGGAGGAGAGAGAGAGAGAGAGAGAGAAGAGAGAGAGAGAGAGAGAGAGAAAGAGGATGAGAAAGAGAGTGACGAGAGATAAGAGGAGAAGAAGAGAGAGAGAAGAATGAGACAGAGAAAGAGAGCATATGAGAGTGAAGTAGTAGAGAAATTAGAATAAGAAGAGGTAAGATAGTGAAGTAGAGCGAAGAAGAGAAAAGGATAATTGTAGAAGGAGAGAGAGAGTAGAAGGAGAGACTAGAAGAATGAAAGAGCAGAAGAAGAAGAGAGAGTAAGAGAGATAAGAAGAGACAAGAGAAGGAAGAGAGCAGAAGAGAAGAAGAGAAAGAGAAAAGAAGAAAGAGAGAAGAGGAGTAATGAAGAGAGAGAGAGAAAGAGAGAGTAGAAAGAGAAGAAGAGAAAGTGAGCAGAAGAGACAGAAGAAGACGAGAGAAGAGCAGAAGAAGGAGAGTAGATAGAAGGAGTAGATAGAGAAGAAATAGAAGAAGGATAAGGATAGTGAAGAGAGTAGCAGATAGACAGAAATAAAGAAGAAGATTAGTAAGGTTAAGAAGAGTATTTAGAGGGAAGATGAAGAGACAGAGAGATAGAGAAGACAGAGAGAGAAGAAAGGAGAGGAAAGATAAATCAAGAAGAGAAGATGAGAAGAGAGACAGAAGAAGAAGAGAGAGAAAGGAAGAGAGAAGGAGAAAGAAGAAAGGAAGAAAGAGGAATGAAGAGAAGAAAGATAGAATAGAGAAGAACGAAAGAAGCGAGAAGAAGGTAGTAAATAACCTAAAAACATGTAGAGACGATAAGAGAAATCAGGAAGAGAAGGAGAGAAGAAACAGACGAAGAAGAAAAGAGAAGAAGAAAGAGAAATGAAAGTAGAAGAAGAGGAAGAAGAGAAGATACGAGTTCAGAGAAGAAACACGTAGCACAGAAGAAGCAGAAAGGACGCAGATGGTGAGTGCCTCTCCCACTAAGATAGAGCCCAGAGAAGCAAGAAAAGAAGAAGAAGAGAGACAGCGAGAGAAATAGATAGAAGAAGAAAGAAGATAGAGAGAAGAAAGAGAAGAGGGACAACTCGCCATAGAGCGTCCTTTGCTAACATCAACACTCACAGGCTCAAGTACGAAAGACCATACATCCAAGAGATATGCCAAGACAGAGAAAAGAGAAGAAGAGAAAGAAAGAGAAGATAAGATAGAAGAAGACAAGAAGGAAGAGAGAAGAAGAGAGAAGAAGAGAGAAGGAGAAGACCGAGATGGAGCTCGCACAATACGTGTAGATAGAGCAGAGAAGAAGAAGAGAGAGGACAGAGAAGAAGGGAATAGAAGAGAGGAGAGAGACAAAGAGTCAAGGAGAGAAAAAAGAAGAAGAGAAGAATAGGAAGGAAGAAGAAAAGAGAGAAGAAACAGAAGAAGAGTGCGCAGAACGTACTCAATCTGAGCTACCTGCACACCTATGCTGACAAGAAGATACGTCCCAGCAGCAGACCCGGCCGAGATACCTCCTATTTCAGAGTGCTTCAAGTACAGTACGTCATTCATATCGCAGAGTCTTCTATGTATATCTGTCATAAAAGGTCAAGGAGTATCTGAAGCAAACAGTCGAAAAGCATTTTCAAGAAATGTTATGAGTATTCCTTATTTTTTACTTCATGATTTAGATGTCACTGCTCTGTTGGTGGGGTGGAAGGGATTGTTTGAATCTGTTGGTGTATGCTGGTGCAGGGTTTTGAAAACTTTACATTTGGTGCTGTTATAGCAATGAGAATGTATATAAATTAAACTAGTGCATGTGTGCAGATTAATAGTTATTTCAATAATATAACTGTATTGATAGAATATTTATATTGTCATATTAAATTAAGTAAATTAAGTATATGATCTATAATGATTGTGTATTAATATTGACCAAGGGTTTTATATAACATATAGTTATTGTTATGGTGAGTATAATAGTAAATAATAAGATATGATATATATTTAATGTATAGCAAGAGTGATTTTTAGAATACTGATTTTAGTGATGTATAGTAGTTAAATCGAATAATGTATTGCAAGTAATGGTATTTAATAAACTATCTGAGTGATTGTATTGATTTGCTATATTTATAAGTGCTGGATTCTTAAGAAACTGTTGGTGGCTTTAAAAGTGTAGATATAGGTAATTGTACGACACAGTGGATGAGCCTGTAGTCTAGATGCCAGTGACGAATGTAAATGGTTAGGAGAAGGTAGGGTCTTGTGAGCAGAGTGGCGCTTCTCTAGTTAAGAATGAGAGGTGGAGATATATCAAGTTAGCACACTCACATAGTGTCCATTGCAAGACGATAATCAACTGAAGCATGTCTTACTATAAGAAAGCAAAGATTACTAAGAGGTCATGTTTTGAGGTCGGGTAATCAGTGTTGTTCCTTGACTTACGCAGACAACGGGATGATTGCCAAACCACGCGTACATAGGCACTAATTGAAAGAACTGGACAGATGTCGTAACGTATAATGCTGCATCTGTATGTATTCGTCATATTTTGTGTATATCTGCATTAACTCTTTTGTCGAAGAACCTCAGATCAGTTTCTTTCCAGAGGAATGAAGAAGCGTTCATAGTTTCAACGCTTACTTGAAAGAGCTCGAAGGCATTCTTAAAAGTTAGGATTCAATTAGAAGTTCATATTTGAACTGTCTTAATCCGCTTGTAGTATTATTTGTCCTTATTAGAACCGCTATAAAGGTTAGGCTGTCTTTAAGCGGTTATGCTTGGGACAGTACTAACCAGTGCATTATTGAGACTTTTATTAAGAATATCTGACGCTTTCATATAGCCTTTTGCATGGAGTAGCAGTCGTTATTTTTAAGCTTCTATGGTGCTAATTTATGCATAGTGTACACGCAGGGGTTATGGTTTTGCAAACTGTTAAAGAAGATTTATTCGATGCCTTTTAATTTGACGTTACAACTTCTAGTTTGATACTCATCAGCGGTATCCATAAGTTATGTCATTCGCAGCTGTTTATCTCTCATACGTTTCATACTTTATAGTTAGAGTGGTATGGTTTTTCAAATTTTATAGAGCATTCATTGTTCCATATTTTGGGTAGCTTCTGCTGCTTTTCTACACATTGTTTTTACGGCAATATTCCTCCTAGTAAATTGGTTATCATATTAACCGCAGTGTTGCTCATCATCCTTTATGCTTCTAGTACCGAGATAGGAAGACTTCATAGACTTTGAGAGTTTAGTGGATGTGGAGATCTGAGGTCTAGTGAGAAGACAGAAGAGACAGAAGAAGAAAGGAGAGGAAAGCAGAAGAAAGGCGAGAAGAAGGAGAAAGAAGGAGAGGAGAAGAGAGAAGAAAGAAGAGAAGAAGAAGAGGAGAGAGATTATATTCTAGTTTTTACTTTTTCGTTTTCACTTATAGTATTTGTTTACGTAGTTGTACTAATGTTTGAGCTTGTTTGACATAGCCATTGGTTATTTGAGTTTTTGAGTGAACTCAGAGGAAATTACAGAATTTGACTTTTGAGGGTTATAAAGCATGTGTGCAATGTCTGCAGCTCCAACCATTAGCCTGCCATTTTTCGCTAAAAGTTTGCCGCTATCTAACCTCCACTCTGTATCTGTGCACCAAGAACTCGGTTTAAAGCATAGGGTTGCTTGACATTTGTTGCAACATAGTGGGGTCATTCATCATTTTTGTTGCAACTGTTGTTTGGTGTCAGTTTTACTATTGGATGTTTCAATGCTCTCTTCCTCTTACGTATATTCTTACGTAGCTTACGTGGCATTTTAAGTGAAGTTAAAAAGCGGTTTTTGACAGATGTTTATATGACACTTTTTGTTCAGCTCAAAAAACTACTCGTCAAAGTGTTGTCAGTTTTGTAAAATAACCGTCCTATCTCATTCTATAAGGGAGAAAGGCTTCTCAAGTATACTTCTTGGAACGCCCGTAACTTTTCCTTAGCGACGATAGATCCTTACTTGTCCGGACAAAGTTATACTATTTTGAGTGCTCTACAAAAAAGTCAACGGCGACGACTCCCAAAAACCGTTGTGTAAAAAGTTTACCGTTGGACAAAAAAGTATATATAGAAAACAAAAAAACGTTTATAGTTCATTCAATATTTGAGATAAACTGTTTTTCCCACGGTATAACTAAAATAAAATAAAAAAATAGAGGGGGTTACGTTGACGAAAACGGTTTATCTCAAACTTTTCTATGAGTGGTCCGAAAAAAAACAGTTCATTTTCATAATGGAAGCCAACGCTGTTTAACCACAATTCAAACATTAACAATTCTCACCGCTAACCAAAGCCAAAGCCCACAACCTCCAAGAACCGGCACAGCGGTTAGAATAACCACCAAAAGTCTAACAGCGAATTAAGAGAATTCTTCAACAAATTTGCTCTAAATATCTCAAAGACGCCGAAGAAAACACACAACCAGACGCTACATACAATACTCAGTTCTGTGAAGTTCTGAACAAAGCAATTACTAGTTCAATTGAACTTACTAAGACAATTCCAAGTCCAATTGAGCTTAGCGATGTCTTAGTTCAGTATTTTCCAACATTTACTAAGCTTATAATGTTGAGAACTTTATACCAAGTTCGTCAAAATCTTCCTCGTTACATCCAACGGTCATTCGACAAGAGAATTGCCGAATTCCAAGTCTTTAGTTACGGATATGACGAAGATGAATACGTTGACGAGTTCGGAGACAACTGTACAAAATGGTTTGAATGTTATACGACAACACAATTTGAATTCGACTTTCTCGAATTCAACGCAGCAACCATTCATATCATTGCTCTTTACCTTTCCGAACAACAACAAGACCTCGCAGATGGAGATGTTGTTACTGTCGTCATGAAAACTCCTGAACAATTCGGAAAAAAGAAGTCTCTAATTGCCAAATTCGTTCCAGGACATCAGCTTTTCCAACGCACAGAAGTCTTCTGTATTCCTGGAACTAAGTTCTTTGTCAGGAGCGAACTCAAAGAAAGATATAATGTGTCATTCAATTACACATTATATAATGTTTTCGACCCAGAAGAAGGCTTCTTCCCAGAAGCAATGGAGGAGGAAGAAGAGGAGGAGGAAATACAAGACTCTATCCAAGAAGAGTCCTCCGAATTCACACCAGAAGACTAACAATTTTCCGAATAAAAACTTCATTTATACTAAACATCTTCGGGGCTAGAGGGCGCAACGCGCCTGGAAGCCCCACTCACCTGACCTAAATGTGATGTGTTTGTAACAGATGATAAAGAATGATCAAAAAGAACTAACTTGTTAATATATCTCGTATTATATAAACATATGTTTTGCTAAGTAATGTAAGATATATCCGTCTCAGACACATAATCCATACATATTTTTTTAATTTTCAGATTTTTTTCTGAATAGGAAATATGTAGTTGAGATCATTGTGTATGAACCTAATACAAGCAAAAATACTATCCTAACCGAATACACTAAATCAGATGTAATATGAAGAAGATTTACTTTACCTATGCTTAATGAGCAAATTAAAGTATCAGAATCTGGTGTTATTTCATATTGTAGTACCGTATGCAAATTTTCCCAAGGAATTAATTTTATCACAAAGAATCCTTCAAAACTTGTTCGGCACCTCTCAATTCCTACATGTGCGAGACTTCCCAATAAAGGTAGTCCCACGAAGATCTAAACGACAGATTTCCAAATAAATAAGATAAATAGAATCAGTAGGCTCCAGATATGAATGATATGATCTTAGTTTGAAAAGTTACTATAAGAATAAAAAGATTTGTGAATTACGTTTTAATTTCAATAATTTTTATCAATTAATCATAGATATAAAAAAAAAAAAAAAAAAGGTAGTGGGGCCTCCAGGCGCGTTGCGCCCTCTAGCCCTGAAGTTTTTTTTTTCTTGGGATGGGCCTCCAGGCACTTCGTGCCCTCTAGCCCATAAAAAATTTTTGAGAGTCGTCGCCGTTGACTTTTTTTGTAGAGCACTCAAAATAGTATAACTTTGTCCGGACAAGTAAGGATCTATCGTCGCTACAGGAAAAGTTACGGGCGTTCCAAGGAAGTATACTTTGAGAAGCCTTTTCTCCCTTATAGAATGAGATAGGACGGTTATTTTACAAAACTGACAACACTTTGACCGAGTAGTTTTTTGAGCTGAACAAAAAGTGTCATATAAACATCTGTCAAAAACCGCTTTTTAACTTCACTTAAAATGCCACGTAAGCTACGTAAGAATATACGTAAGAGGAAGAGAGCATTGAAACATCCAATAGTAAAACTGACACCACAACAACAGTTGCAACAACAAATAATGAATGACCCCACTATGTTGCAACAAATGTCAAGCAATCCTATGCTTTTAAACCGAGTTCTTGGTGCACAGAGTGGAGGTTTAAGAGCGGCACTTTTAGCGAAAATGGCAGGCTATGGTGGAGCTGCAGACGGAACAGCTTATAACCCTCAAAGTCAAATGAATTTGAGTTCACTCAAAAATCAAATAACAGATGTCAAAAAGTCAAACATAGACATACAGAAACAAATAAGTGAAAACGAAAAGAAACT